GAGATAGGGGCATATTGGGCAGTACTTGAGCAGAATGAGGAAGATTCCAAAGTATCAAATCCCGGCTTACTATTTGTCTGCTAGGAATAGTTTTACAAGGAGAGGGGACAACCTATTGTCCCGCTTCCTTGCCCATCCTCTCCTGGCTAGAGACTACTTCTTTGCTCTTACCCAGGGCACACCTTTCTCTTCAACCCGTATGAGGTGTCTGGGGGCACTGCTAAGGGGAGAAAAACTATGTCCTCCCTCAGTTGTTGGCATGTGAAACAAAGCCCCATTCATCCTAAAATAGTTAGAGCTGTTTATCCTGTTAAGGTGTATGTGGGAGAACTATGCCCCTCTATATGGGCAAATCTGTATGGGCTGAACTCATGAATCAGAAGCTTGGTCATTTACTAGTAACTACTAGCTCAACGGGAGCTAGGTGGCACAATAGATAAGAGTGCCAAGGCTGGAGTCATGAAGACCTGAGTTCAAATCTATCCTCAGACATTTCCTAGCTGTGTGACCCTGGCCAAGTCACTTCACCCTGTTTGCCTCAGTTTCCTCATCTGTAAAATGAGCCGGAGAAGGAAATAGCAAATCACTCCAGTATCTTTGTCAAGAAAAGCCCAAAAGAGATCATGAGAGTCAGGTGCTATGGAAAACAACTGAACAACAAAATACCACCTCAAAACCAAGTCGTTTTTTCCCTCTTTGGGTCTCAGTTTCCTCATATATAAAGTAACAGACAGCATAGTATATGGGAAGCAATGGATTTAAAGTCAGAGAACCTGGGTTTAAATGCAGGCTCTACCTACTCCTTATATGACTGTGAGTAAGTCTAGTAACCTCCCTGGGCCTGGGTTTCCTTATCTGTGAAATGAGGGATTAAATGACCTTCTAAAGTGCCTTCCAATTCGAAATCTCTGATCCTTTGACTAGATGGTATCTCACATTTATAAAGGCCTTAAGCTTTTTAAAGCGCTTTATATTCATCATTTCCCTTGCTCCTCCCAACACCACTCTGAGCCAAATGCTATTATTTATCCCCATTTTAGAGATGAAGAAACTAAGGCTCAAGATCACTAAGTGTCTAAGGCAGAGTGTGAGCTCTAAATTCCTAGGCGTTAACTATCATTCCACCGTGCGTCTCAGAGGTCCCTGCAACCCGAGTGGCTATGATTCTGTGAGATAATAATTACTTATCCATCTATGGCTGAGGGCCAAATTTGTAGAGAACATTCTGTAACTGAAGTACTCTTTAAAATGTAAACAGTGACTTCCTCTGCATATTTGGGAATTATATGTATGTTGCATCCATAGACAAACCACTTAAGAATGTACACATTTGCCAATATGTGTTAGAGATGTTGCTGTGTCTGACCTTGATATTTGATGAGCTTGTGTATGTGTGTGTGTGTGTGTGCAGACATTTTCTCTTCACTGATTTTTTTTACTCTGGGCTGTGAAATTCCCCGCCTCACCCCCCCCAACCCTGCATAAACTTTATGTTCTTGGTCCTGTTCCCAGGGAAGAGTAGCCCTGCTGGGAAGGCTGTTTATTCTTATTTTTTCCCATTTCCCGCACCTTGTCAGGGAAGCAGAAGCTTCCAGCTTCCATCCCCCTTTCCTCTCCTCCCCATTAACCTTATTGGTTCCTTTCTTTTAGCAAGAGAAAAAAAAAAGGCGTGGGCAGTCATTGGTTCAGTGGGAAAAAATCAATGAACCAATGAAATGCAAGCTTGGAGGTTGTTGCTAGACCAATGGGAATCTTGGATGTCAAGGACAAACAAATGAGCTTTTCCAAGAACTGAATGGTACAAAATTCAGAAAACGGCCAGCAGATGGAAGCAGATCAAGCTGCATTGATGGCATCCTGTCAGCTTCCAGTTGCCCGCATTGGGTGGCGATGGGGGGCAGGGAGAAGGATGCATGTTCTCTGTTAGTTTTTCCTTGATATAAAGTAACGAATCTTGTATCTGACTGTTGCAGTAGGAAATAAAGTGCATGTGTTTAATTTGTATTTCTGCAGGTTTGAATCTGTTGTCCCTGCCAGTGCCCAGGGCCACTGTTATTATCATTATCCATTTATCTCCCCCACCCCACCCAAGGTTGCTACATGGGGTGGGTATTGCCCAGGCTGAAACAAGGAAGCTTTGCTAGAGGAATCTCTCCCTGCACTGCCATTCAAGGAAAGGGGTTGGAAGGATCTCATTAACTTTACTAACCTCCAAAGAGGAGGGGAGGAGCCAGCTTTCTACTGTAGAAAAAGTAGCGTCTTCCTTGCAATTAAAGTCTGGGTGTAGTCATCATTGTCGTTGCCATCACCACTAATATTTATATAACACTTTAAGGTTTGCAAAATGCTTTATAAATATTCTCATTTGATACTTATAAGAATCCTGGAAGGTAGGTGTTATTTTACAGATGAGGAAACTGAGGCAGATGGAGTTTAAGTGATTTGCCCTGGGTCACATAGCTAGTAGGTGTTTAAGGATGGATCTGAACTTAGGTCTTCCTGATGCCAGATCTAGCAGTCGATCCACTGCATTACTTAGCTTCCTAGAAATAATAATTTTGTTGTTGACTTATTTCAGTCATGTCCCAACTCATGATCCCATTTGAGGTTTTCTTGGCAAAGATACTTGAGTGGTTTGCTATTTCCTTCTCCAACTCATTTTACAGATGAGGAAACTAAGGCAAATGGGGTTAAGTGACTTGCCTAGGGTCACAGAGCTAATAAGTGCCTGTATTTGAATTTGAATTCAAGAAGGTGAGTCCTCCTGACTCCAGGCTGGCACTGTGCCACCTAGCTGAATAATAATAATAATAATGAAGATGATGATGACGATGATGATAGTAACTGCCATTTACATAGGCCTTGAAGTTTGCAAACTACTTTACATACTTATCTCATTAGGGAATTAACTTTCTCCTCCATGAGTCTTTCCCTGATTCCTGCTTCCCACCTCATCCCCACCTACTCCCCAGTTGAAAGTTTGATGTACTAGAAAGTGGCCAGTAATTATAACTATCCAAAAGTGAAGTGAGATGACTTGAGAGGAAGTGTGTTTTCCACACTCATTGGAACTATTCTAGCAAAGGCTTGATGACCACTTGGGACAGCTAGGTGACATAGTGGATGGAGTGCCAGGCCTGGAGTCAGGAAGACTCACCTTCCTGAGTGTAAATCCAGACTCAAGTCACTCAGCTGTGTGACCCTGGACAAGTCACTTAACCCTGTTTGCCTCAGTTTCCTCCTCTGTAAAATGAGCTGGAGAAGGAAATGGTAAGCCATTCCAGTATCTTTGCCAAGAAAACCCCAAATGGGATCATAAAGAGTCCTACAATACTGAAACTACTGAAAACAAAATAACCACTTGTCAGGTATATTTAGAGGTTCATATTCAGATTGGACTAGATGATCTCCCCATCCAATCAGAGATCTATCATCTGTAATTCATCTTCAAATTTTTCATGACAGTTTGCTTGGACCTCTCCTTGGAATTTATCTCACATTTCCTTGTTCCAGAGTTATTTTCGTACTTCCCTACACCCATAAGCTTCTAAACTCCTTAAAAAGCAATGTCTAGGGACAGCTAGGTGGCGCAGTAGATAGAGCACCAGCGCTGGAGTCAAGAGGACCTGAATTCAAATTCAGCCTCAAACTCTTACTAGCTGTGCCACCCTGAGCAAGTCACGTAGCCCCAGTTGCCTCCCCTCCCCCCCAAAAAAAGAACAGAAACAAAAGAAATAAAAGCAATGTCTGCTGCAGTCTGTGATGTATCATCTATCTTTGTATCCCTAATGCCTTGAATGGTGCCTTGCCCTTTTTTGTTTATTTTATTTATCTAGACCTGTGATTTCATTTGTATAGAAATTCCCTCCACTGTTGCAGACCAACAACTCTGTGAGTATGGTCTTAGACAATTGCTTGTGGGCGTTACTCTTACCCATAGTCACATGGGGGCAACCTGAATACAGGCCTTTCTGACTCAAAACCTGCCTTCCATTCACTACTCCATACAGCCTCTCATCTAATACATAGTAGGTGCTCAATATTAATGGAATTAAATGTATTGGGCCATAGTCTAGAACTTAAAAACACAGAATATTAAGACTGAAAATGACTTGGAGGTCACTTAATCCAACGCCATCATTATAGAGATGAAGAAGTGGAACTTTGTTATCATAGGCTAAACTTATGCCCAGATTGATCATATCTGCTGTCCATGTGTTTGGAGAGGGATACATTTAATAAGGTACCAATTTTGTATCTGGAGGTACAATTCAACAGTCAGGGGCTGCTGACCAGATGCTACCAAATTAGGTAATAACAGTAACCATGACTACACAGTACCCAGCTCTTAATAGGCACTGAATAAACATCTGATGAAAGGAATTTAATTTCTAAGCATAGAGTTTTAATGAACGTTTGGTATGGTTTGGAACTGCCTTAAGAAAAAACCTTCCCCCATCATCCTCATCCCTACTACCCCTGACCTGGGGTTTAGTTGACCATCAATGCTAGGTCTTTCAAACTCTGACTTTTCAGAAAATGGTTTCTAGTATTGATCTATTGTCTGAAGATAGTGATAGGGACAGGAACGTTGCGCTTTGTAAGTACTGAAGGAGGCAAGAGTGATGGACTTGGTATCAGAACTTTCAAGTTCGAATCCTGGCTCTGACACTTGCTACCCTGGAGAGGTCACTTTTCCTCTCTAGGACTCATTTTCCTTCTTGACAGAGGGAGGAACTTGAACTCGGTGTTTGTTAAGGGTCCTCCCAGGTTTAACCTTCTAAGATTCTCTCATTCATGAAAGCCGATGGTCTCTGATAATTAAGAATGTTATTGTATCCTTGGTAGATCTGTGGTCTAGACCTTTAAATCAACAGCTGAACCCAGTTCAAAGAGCTCGACCCGAAAAAGCTTAATGGGAATGTTGTCAGTTGACTTGCCCCCATATGAGATCTTTCTTGGTTAACTACTTTCTTTTCTTTTTTCTTTTTCTGTTTTAGGAAGAATCAAAAAGCAAATCCAAAGTCTGTGCCAATGTGTTTTGTGGCGCAGGCAGGGAGTGTGCAGTCACTGAGAAGGGAGAGCCAACCTGTCTTTGTATTGAGGTAAGTTATTCAGGAAAAGGGGTAGCTTCAGAAATGACTACTTTGCCAAGGATTGACTTTCATTAAGATAATGTATATATATGTAGATGTATGTGTATGTGTATGTGTATGTGTATATATCCTTCACAGGATCATAGTCTTAGAACTCAAGGGCACTTTAGAAGTTGTCTAGCCTATTTTAAAAATGGGAGTGAGGAGGGAAGGGAATAAGCATTTACATGGCACCTACTATGTGTCAAGCACAATGCTAAGCACTTTACAATTATTATTTCATTTGATTATCACAACAACCTTTGAGATAAGTGCTATTATTATCCTTATTTTACAGTCAAAGAAATTGAGGCAAACAGAGGTTAAGTGACTTGCTCAGGGTCACACAGCTAGTAAGTATCTGAGGCTGGATATGAACTAAGGTCTCTCTGGCCAGTGCTCTATCCACTGTTTCACCTAGCTGCCTCTAGATGAAGAAATTGAGGCCTAGTTCGGATGACGTCCTCAAGGCCACAAAAGTAATAAGTGGTAGGCCTAGGTGGTTTGACACCAAATCCAGGATTCTTTCTTTTGTACCGCACTGTTATCCACATTAATTTAGAAATGAAACAATATACCCTTTCATCTGTCTCAGTGACCTCTGGGATTTTTTCATTCTGGAGGAAAAAAATCCTAAATTATTGTAGTTATGTAGTTTTTGAAGACTCATACTTGGGGCATCAGAGTAAGAATTAGAGAAATATTTTATTTGCTTCCTTGTAAGAGACTTGAAAGTAAAATTCTACTCCTTAAGTAAATTAACATGGGAAAGCTGCCTTGTAGGCCTTTGTCCAGAGCTCCTGAATTAGGGGTATGCCAGCAGTGCTCTGACCCAAGACTATCATGGCACATATAGTAGGGGTGCTGGATCTGGAATGAGAAAACCTGGATTCAGCTCCCTACTCTGCCACTTAGTACCCATTAAAAGGTCAAGTCATTTAAACCCTTTGCTCTTAGTTTCTTCTTCAGTAAAATAAGAGCTTTGGAGTAGATGACCTTTAAGGTCCATTCCAGCTCTAAATCTATCATCCCATGCCTTCCCTTCTAGTTAAACATTTCCCTAGTCAGTTCATTATATATATTAAAAAAAAAACAACACATGGTACTGGCTGAAAAAAACTTTTCAATGAAATAAAATTGAAACTATAGAAATGGAGTCAAACTAAAATAGGAACTTCATGTATAGTAGACCAGATATAGCACAACAATGGGGAAAACTCACTACTTAATAAGTGTTTCAAGGGAAAGGTAATTGGGACATATATGTATGGAGAAGAATTAACTTGACTCCATATACCTCACATTATACATAGCAATAAATTCCAGATGGGTTAGTACTAAACATAAAAATAAAACAACCTACTTAAGAAAATAATAACAACAACAAAGAAAATTGGAGAGCATATTTATACCAGCTGTGGAAGAGAAATAGATTCTTGGTCGTTGAGGGAGTTACCAAGTGACAAGGTGACATTGAAGGAATGACAAGATATGAGTATTCAGTTTTATTAAAAATAAAAATACTTGCATAATGAAATGCAATAAAGTAAATATCCCAGAGAAAGCAACAGATTAGGAAGAACTAAAATGTAAAAAAAAAAATTACTAAAAGCTTGGTCTTCAAAATATTAAAAAAATCAGCACATATGTATACATGTATATTTATGCATAGCTCAGTATCCAGATTCTACTTAATAAGTGGTCAAAGGAGATGAACAGTTTATTTAAGAGAAAAATAGACAGCAAATGATCATATAGAATAATAATGATGATGATGATAATGATGATAATAACTGACATTTATAGTACCTTTAAGGTTTGCAAAGGGCTCTACCTATATTATCCTATTTGAAGTGCCTGCCCTTGTTAACGTTTACAAAATGCAAATTAAAACAGCTCCAAGGTGCTACTGTATACCGATTAAACTAGCAAAAGCAAATTGGAATTATAAAAACTCAATGCTAAAGGGCTATGTGTGGTGGCAATAGACATCTATTCATCCAGTCCTTCTGGAGAGCAAGCGGTCAGGATGTAGAAGAAGATATACTAAGCTATTCATACCCTTTAACCTGGTAGTTGCTCTTGGAAAATATATTTTGAGGGGCAGCTAGGTGGTGCAGTAGATAGAGCACTGGCCTTGGAGTCAGGAGGACCTGAGTTCAAATTCCATCTGAGACACTTGACTAGCTGTATGACCCTGGGCAAGTCACTGAACCCTGATTGCCTTGAAGAAAAAAAAAAAGAAGAAAAAAAGAAAACATATTTTGATACTTTAAGTATCCATGATTGCATCCATGTGGGTATTCCCTCTACTCCTGCAGTTTGCAGTTCTTCCATGGCTTAATAATAATCATCATATCTAGCATTTACATAGCAGAGTGCTTCACAAGTATCTCATTTGATCAAGCAATAAACATTTATTAAGTGCTGTCATGTACCAGGTACTGTGCTAAGTGCTAGGGACACAAAAAAGGGCAAAAGATGGTCCCTACTGTCAAGGAGCTCACAGTCTAATTGGGAAGACAAGGAAATAAATATGTAAAAACAAACTGTTGTTTGGTCATGTCCAACTCTTTGTGACCCCATTTGGGGTTTTCTCGGCAGAGATACTAGAGTGGTTTGCTATTTCCTTCTCCAGTTCATTTTACAGATGAAGAAACTGAGGCAAACAGGGTTAAGTGACTTGTCCAGGGTCACATGTCCAGTAAGTGTCTGAGGCCAGATTTGAACTCAGAAAGAGGAGTCATCCTGACTCCAGGCTTGGCACTCTATCCATTGTGCCACCTAGCTGCCCCTCTATAGGTACTGCAGACGTTGTTATCTCCATTTTGCAGAGGAGGAACGTGAGGCTCCAGAAAGTTAAGGGGCTTGCCCAGGAACACACAGCCAGCACATGTTAGAAGCAAACTGAGCCCAGGTCTTCCTGGCTCTCAGTACAGCACTAAATCTACCACACCACACCTGTGCAAGGGGAAACCTTATCCATGCTAAGGGGAGAGCTCCCTGATGAGCCGATCGGTGCCTGTGTCAGCAGCTATAGGAACATTTCATCTCTGGATCTGTTCTAGCAATGCAAATCTCACAAGAGGCCTGTGTGTGGCAGTAACGGGAAGACGTACCTCAACCACTGTGAGCTGCACCGTGACGCCTGCCTCACGGGATCCAAAATCCAGGTGGACCACGACGGGCACTGCAAAGGTAAAGAGTGTTCATGTCATAGAGTGCAGCCTCCAACTCTGTGACCTTGGGTGGGGGTCAGGGATATGGGTGGTAAGCCGGATGAACAGAGGTACAAAGAATGTATCTGCCGAACTTTTTCCGATTCTCCCCCACTCCCTCCCAGCCCTTGCCCAAATCCTCATTAATCACTGGCCTTCTTCCTAGAGACGGTGCTGGTATCTAGGCCTCTAAGCATCACTTCCAGCCTGTCAAATTCTCCACTAAAGTCTTGGGACCTTATCTCCACTGGATGATAGGCTGGAGTCATAGGACTGTAGATTAAGAGTTGGGAGGGACCTTCCAGGTCACTGAGTCCAGCCCTGTCATTTTACAAATGAAAAGACTAAGGTACAAAGATATTAAGTGACTTGCCCACGGTCTCCTAGCTAGTAAATATGTGAAGCAGGCATGGAACCCAGGTCTTCCTGACCCTAAGGGTCCTCTTTCCCTTACACCACATTTGTGGAGCCCCTAATTGACTTCTGCATATTATTATAAAATTGTCTCTATCTATGCCTCTGAATAAAGCATGAAGGAATTTGGGGACACTTCAGCACATTCAATGTCATCTTGTTACCTGGTGGCAATATACCTTGGTTTTATACCTTAACCACCTTCCTTTTAGGTAAAAAGACCTTTGACCTCATCCTGTTCTCCTGAAAGGATTTGTTCTGTAAAACTTGGACTCCGTCAAAAGGCTGCGCAAGGACCTAGAAGGCCACATGTGCCTCAAGGCCGCAGGTTCTCCACCCCTTGTGATCTAGCGTGTTGCTAGCATAGAACAGGTATCCTGGGCCTCGGATGTTCAATCGAGCCCTAATTAGGACCTGGGCATTCTGATAAAATGCTGTGGATCCAGTTAGCTTCCTTCCAGGAGTTGGTCTAGCTGAAATGAAGGGAGAGTAGGGCTGACTTAGGGTAGAAAATAGTAACAATGCTGCATACATCTCAATGGCCTCCCAGCAGGGGCCTAACCATGATAATGAAACGACTTCATTTCCTGCTCTGACAAGTCACACAATTTCCCATTTCCTTTGGCAGAAAAGAAACCAGCAAGTGCATCTGCAAGCCCGGGTGAGTGTCTGCCTTTCCTACCAGCCCACATCCAGGGAACCACTTCCAATTGTTTGACATCAGGTTTGGGTTGTAATCAGCAGTGCCTTCAGTGGACATGGCACGGAAATGGGAATTGATCCCAATAAGTTCACGCCTGCATTTTACACATCATGTTGAGCCAGTGGGTTGTGTTTGTGTGGGCAGGATTTAAACTTTAGAAGAGTTATAATTGAGCTTCCCATATCTCCTTCACTTGCCCACTGAGTCCTTCTGTGGCCATTGGCCCTGAAGAATCAGATATCCAACTTATTTAAACTGTACACTTATTCTACTAAAGAAAATAACTCATGTATATGTGCTTTAAAACTCACTAATTGCTTTCCTTACAACAGGTGATTAGTACGAAGTTGCTTATCTCCCTTTTATAGATGAGAAAACTGAGGCTGAGAAAGGTTAAATGACTTACCCAAAGTCATGCAGTTAGCATTCAGAGCTGTCACGGCTGGAAATCCCACTATACCCACTTTTATTTTTTTCACAACTCTTCACTCTTGGGTGTTTCAGGTCTTTCCTCATCCCCTCTCTTTCCCATTCTGGTTTCCCATTCACTACTTCCTCAGCCTGACTGTGATGTCTTTGGTAGCTGTCCCATATCGTGTTTAAAAATATTGATGCATTCAGGGCTCAAATGAAATCATGGATGTAAAACACTTTGCAGACCTTCAAAGTACTATATAAATCCAATAATAATAGTAATATTAATAATTGTTGTTAACTTAGAGTCACTAGGCCTTCACTCCGGTGAAGACTTCATTCCCAAAGCCTTCTACTGTGCTGTTACTGAGCTCAAGCAATGTTTATAAAGCAAAATAGGGGTGAGCTGGTAAATGTTTAACAACCATACTCTCGATTTTAAAACCTATATGCACCTACATTTTAAAGTTTAATCTGCATTATTAACATTTCCTTAAATCTAGATAATCAACAAAACAATAAATCAAGCCCTGCTATGTGGCAGTTGCCAATTTCTGAGATGTAAAAGCTCCCACTGAAAATTTAACAATAAGCTCGAGCCAGTTAGAGCTGAATGCATTCCTTTCCTGGGAATATTTAACAGCAACTTATATTAACAGAATCCCAAATAGAAGATGGGGGGGGAGGTGCAGTGGATAGAGTGCTGGGCCTGGAGTAGGGAAAATGCATCTTCCTGAGTTCAAATCTGGCCTCAGACATTTACTACCTATGTGACCCTGGGCAAGTCACTTAACCTTATTTGCCTTAGTTTCCTCATCTGTAAAATGAGTTAAGAAGGAAATGGCAAACCACTCTAGTATCTTTGCCAAGAAAGCCCCAAATGGGGTCACAGAGTGTCGGATACGGCTGATACAACTGAATAACAACCACAAAAGGTTTATCAGTTGATAGGGATGAGAAACTTGCAGAATATGATTACTCTGCATGATGAGACCGAATGGCCATGTTAAAGACCCAGAATCAGGTGGGTTGGACTGTTGTAATAGTGAACATTGACATCTTATTTGTGAACTGCTTCAACACAGCACTAGGCCAGGATAGGATCACTTTTTTTTTTAATTTTTCATTTTAGCTTGCTAATCTCTACGTATTACACATAGAGTGAACCTTGGACTACCAAGCATTTTTTTCTTTATCTTATAATCAAAACATTGATTACTCTAAACAACAAGATTAATTAAAAGTCCTTTTAAATATTTTTTTCTCTTGCATTTCTCTTACCTATGTTGCGTGCCATCTTTCTTTCCCTTTACTTACTTCTGACTTTTCCTGTATCCTTCCCACCATGTCCCCTCCCCTTCTTCCTTTGATTTTTTTTTCATCTCTTTCCCACAGTTGTCTGCTATCAGTCTGACCGTGATGAGCTCCGGAGGCGCATTATCCAGTGGCTAGAGGCTGAGATCATACCTGATGGCTGGTTCTCTAAGGGGAACAACTACAGCGAAGTCTTAGACAAGTATTTTAAGGTAAGAAATGTTGTTGTTGAGTCCAACTCTTCATGAGCCCTTATCAGGCTTCCTAGAGTAGTTTCCCATTTCCTTCTTCATTGTGTCCCCATTTTACTGATGAGGAACTGAGATAAACAGGGGTTAAGTGACTTGCCCAGGGTCACACACTAGTAAGTGTCTGAGGCAGGATTTGAACTTAGAACTTCCAGACTCCAGGCCCAGCACTCTATCCCCTGTACTACCTACATGGGAAGATCACTGTATGTTTTGTCTTGTTTTGTTTTGTTTTTTACCTTGAAATCACTATATGTGAAGCACCTTAATTGCATTCTGACCTCCTTGGATGGCAAGTTCAAGAGTAGGATGGCCATATCAACCTTTGGGAATTTCCTTGCATCTTATTCTAGCTTTGGGGTATAGTTCTAACTATGAAGCTTTTAGAATTGCTATAAATTAGGAAAAGAAAACAAGTTAGTCTTTAGCTCTCCCCCAAATTAATAAATATGCTCACTCCTGTACTTAAACCCATACATCTGTAGATACACATAGAAATGCCAGTACAGAGAGACATACTCACAGATATACTTATGTATTACAAAATGACACATGACTTCATGGATAGTCAGCAAACATTTATCAAGAAGTAATTATGTGCCGGGCACTTCGCTAAGGTCTGGATATACAAAGAAAAGCAGAAACAGTTCCTGCTCTCAGGGAGTTCACCTTCCAATTGAAGAGACATGTAAAAAATTGTTCCTGTAGTACCCACTACTGGGAAGGCTGAGACTAATGGATTACTTGAGTTCAGGAGCTCTGAGCTACAATAGCCAAGCTGATCTCATATCTGCACTGTCTGGCACCAATACGGTGAGCCCCTGGTAATGAGGTTTCCTGGGCTGCCTAGGAAGGAGGGGAACTGGCCCATGTGAGAATTAGAGCAGGTTAAAGCTTCCATGCTGATCCGAGTGGGATTGGGGCTGTGAGTAGCCTCTGAACTAGGTGAGATAGGGAGACTCTCCCTTTAAAAAAAAAAAAAGTACATAGAAGATACCTACAGTATAAATGGAAGGCAATCTCAGAAAACACTAATAATTCTGGAAGGGAAGCATAGGGAATAGAGGCAAATACCCACAGAGATATACATATAGCCAATAAATTTAAATCCACCCAGATACAGACATACCTAAACATAAACCACAAAGACAAATAGACACAAAAACACAGTTTCCTATAGATATGAAGAGATGTAAACACACAAGGACAACTGCATATGTTTGAATTTACATTACAATACACTCCAAGGTATGCCCCAATATAAATACACACGCACAGAAATAAAGCATCACAGATACACATAGCTGTGAACGACAGTTATCCTCCCTTAGATACACACACATACAACTACAGAGAATAACAATTAGGCATCCCTCCGAGACTGCCTAGAGGAGTGTTACATAAGAGGCAAAGCCATAGCAGCAGGCTCCTGTGTGCTGCCTTGAAACATGCTGAACAGGAAGAGGAGAAAGAAAAGGTGTAGGAGACTTAAATAATTCATAACCTGGCAGCATTTGCTTATCAGGAACTGCCTCTGGCCCCTTTTCCCCCCTACAGTCCCCACTTCAGCTAGGTGTCACCAATCTTCCATTCTCACCTACAGGACCAGAAGCACCTGGGCTGGGATTGTTTCTGTGATTGAGCCTTTTTTGGACATCACTGTATGTTCCTATTTACAGTTGCCTGGTCTTTTTTCAACTCATACAGGGCTGACCTAGTGTCCAGAGCCCTGACCAGGTCAGGGCAACTGGGGCCTCACCCCAGAGTGCTAAAGTGATAATATTTGCTAAGCACCTAATTAGCAAGAATAAAGCTCCTCCCAGACCTGGGGTTCTCTGTCTCCTCACCACAGAATGGTATTCTGACCATCCTACCTCCCTCCCACTCCCCAAACTGAGGATATGTTTGTGCCACTTTCCTTAGGTGAACAAATGCCTAGTTATGGCTTGACTCTCATCTAACCCCATTCTTGTTGAAATGCCTCTTTGCCAATTAAAGGCATAATTCTACATCCAGGCAGTGAAGCTAGGGGTCACAATGTGGCCAGCCATGCATTAAACAGGTTAAGACAGAGCAGGGGTCAAAGCTAGGCAAGTTTCCAAAGACAAAGAAACCTTGGAAGTAAGACAAGGCCTGCCTCAGACAGGAAGTCTTTTATTTTCTTCTTTAATAAGTGCTTGTTCCCTTCCCCTTTTTCTGTCACTGGAGGATCCAGAGACTGATTTCCCTGGGTGTAGCCAGATAGGGCTAGGTGACTCAGGCTGTTACAGGGCAGCCAGACCCAGCAAAGTAGCCATGTGAGTGGCATCTCTAGAAACCCTTTAGAAGAAAGCAGATTGTCAAAATGTGTTGAAATAAAGGCCTCACTTCATTTCGTTCAAAGACTCAAGGTTCAACTTTATTTAACTGTCTTAAAGATTCAAACTTCTAGGGACCACATGTGGGCCATAAAGGTCAGGCCAGTCCTTTCTCAATTCTATCTCTAGGAAAACATACCCACACTTATTTCATTGCTTGGCACACAGACAACCCTTTAGGTCGAAGTATTCCCAGCCGGGAAAGCACATCAAAGAATAGGGCCAAAATAGAAGGTAGGGGGAGAAAGGGATTTGGACAAGACACTTGATAAAAAGATAAATTACCCTTGACAGGAGCTGGTTAGGAACACAGGCATTGCTATGGTAATTATAGCACCAGGCAGCCCTGAGACTCAGACCTCTCCACAGGGAGGGGTTTGTGGCTTTGTAGTGTTAATAATGGGCCTTTGGTGACATGAAGCCTCAGGTATTATAGACGCCTGCAATTAGATTTGATTACTGGGTACCTGTACCACCCTCCCACATCCACACACCTCCATCTACCCCTCACCCACAAACCTATACTGAAACAGGCTGTCATCTAAAAATGTGCAAGTTCCCTGGAGAAAAATCTTTGTTAGAAAGGTCTTCTCTGGGGCAGCTAGGTGGTGCAGTGGATAGAGCACCGGCCCTGAAGTCACGAGGACCTGAGTTCAAAACCAGCCCCGGACATATAACACTTACTAGCTGTGTGACCCTGGGCAAGTCACTTAACCCCATTGCCTAGCCCAAAAAAAAAATTTTTTTTAAATAAATAAAAGAGAAGAAAGGTCTTCTCCCACTTTCATCATAGAATTTCTATTCTTGATCCCGTTCTCTTCTGAACTTTCTCGAGAGGTTTAACGAGAACAACCCAATGAGTCTCTCTATGAACATCTTTTCTCACTATATCCCTGTGAGACTAGCTGGAAAATATTCCTTCTCCCTAGTTTACAGATCAGAAAATAGAAACATGCAAAGAAGTGTCCTTGCACCTGGATTGGGATGTAAGGGAAGTCTCTGAGCATTAAGCGAGTGCCAAGTACAAGTTCAGAGGTTTTTTAATGAAGAGTCAGGCCTTCCAGGCCTTCCAGGCCCTCCAAGCTGCTTCTCTGTGCTCTGTATCCACTTGCCCTGTATATACTTCCCTAAGGACTCAATTATCTCCAGAGAGCAGATCACAGCCCAGGTGGAGTCAGGCTCAGCGACTCTAGAAGTCTGCCTAGACTTCATCAATCAATCAATCAACAAGCATGTAAATGCCTATTATAGGCCAGTCACTGTGCTATTAAGGAAACAGTCCTTTCCTTCAAAGAGTTTATATTCCATTGAACTTACACTTATGGGAACAAGTGGTCATCCTGGGGGATTGGACCATAATTTTGTTGTGGAGTTGTTCCAGTCATGTCCAACTCTTCATGATCCCGTTTAGGGTTTTCTTGGCAAAGATACCAGAGTGGTTTGTCAATTCCTTCTCCAAGCTCATTTTACAGATGAGGAAAAATGCAACTCTCCGACTTACGCTCACCTATAAATCAATACCCTTTGCCATCCAATACTATATTCCTAGGGAGTACCTAGTGTTATAATCCACACCCACTAGGCACTTCATTCATAGCTCAAGAAAGTCCTACGCTATGAGAAATCACATCTATAATATTATCAGTGTTGAGCTGGAAGGTATCTAAGAGGTCATCTAGTCCAACCTCTTGGTTTTACAGGTGAGGAAGCTGAGGCTCAGAGAAATTAAATGACCCTTTCAAGGTCACAGTGGTAGGAAAGAGCAAAGCCAGGATTCAAATTCAGCTTTATGACTCAAAGTTCAGAACTTTCTATTACACCATATTGTTTCCTATCCTTCCAGCTCTAAGGCGCATCATCATATCATGCTCAATAATTTACAAAGCCCTGTGAGATAGGCAGTATGAGTGACACGAGCACATTTTTACAGATGAGCAATTTGGGAGCCAGAAAACTTAAATGACTTTCCCACAATCACAAAGCTAATAAGGGTTAGAGCCCAGACTCAAACAAAGATATTTTAAATTCCAAGTCCAACACTCTTTCCACATTATGATGCCCTCCAAAAATAATAATCCTTTACACTAGTTAACACTACCTTTATAATTTACAAAGTACTTTCATCCAAACATGTGAGCTATAATTATTACCTAGTTTAATTCTCAGAACAACTCTATGAGATAGTACTAGTATTATCATCACCTTTGGAGAAATGAGGGAAATAGAGTTGTTAAGTGATGAATGCCTGTACTAAAATGGTGGTAGTTCCAGAGAAAAGAAGGAAGAGTATTCAAGAAATGTTGCAAAGCTGAAATCGATAGGCTTTGGCAACAGATTGGGTATGGGAGGATGAGAGATAGTGAGGAGTTCAGGATGACTCCTAGGTTGTGAGCCAGAAGGACAGGGAGGGTGGTATTGCCCTCTACAGTGACAGGGAATGGTAGGGGTGGGAGGAACTTTTAAGGGGAAAAATGAGTTCTGTTTTAGACCTTCACTTTCATCTCATACCTTGGCATCATGTAAGAGGGACCATAAAAATTGGCTTATAAAATTTGGAAGTATCCTTCATAGAAGTATGACAATTGAAGGCAAGAAGTTTTATATTCTTTCTTTCTTCCATCCTTCCTTTTTCCTTTCCTCCTGCCACTTATATATGTACATATTTTTGATTTATATGTATTATGTATAATATAATGTATATATATATTACATATGATATGTATGTAATTTACATATTTATGCTTTACATATCATATACTATATGTGATATATGTATAATATGTAATATATTACTGTATGTTTACATATTTATGCTTTATAGCAAGAGAAATATTTTGTGACACAGTGTGATATGGTAGAAAAAGCAATGCACTTGGAGCCACAGGGCAGGAGTTCAAATCCTCGCTCTGCTACTTACTGCCTGTGTGACCTTGGGCAAGTGCCTTCATCTTTCTAAGCCTCTCTTCATTTCTTCCCGTACAGAGAAGGAACTAGACGAGATGACCTCTAAGATTCCTTCCAGTTCCATATCTATGATCTTGTGATTCAATCATCTAATGGGCAGTTTGTTCAGAGCAGTGACTTTGTCGCCCACTTCTTCCAGATGGTGTCATGGCCTCTTGAATGTTCACAGATGGTCAAGGTTTCAGTTCAGTGTCTTATAGGAAAGTAACAGCACCAGTGTCCACTCCCTTGCTCATCCACCTGGAGAGATTTTACTGGGGCTAGAATTGCAAATGGGTCATCTCGGGATTTGTGATGGCATCTCCAGGACGGCTCATAGTTTACAGGCCAGTCCTGATGAACCCTGTGCTGCTTGGAGCCTGCAGGCCATTAATTTATAGCCTTTCCCTATTCAGCTTGCTATCCAGAAACCATCTCCCCAAGGTCAGCGAGGAGGAGATGACTAAGCTAGGGCTGTTGGTCCTGAAACAGCAAGTCGTGCAGAGCATTACTCTTGTCTTGAGATGTAAGGGACTGGTTCATGAAGAGTTAAATATTGACTGCAAGGCAAAGAGCGTGATAGAACAGCTCGGTCAGTCATGAGCCCAGGGTCAGGTCAAGGGTGAAGAAGCTTGGTTTCAATTGTAGCTTCAGTGGGCAGAGTTGGTGAGGCATGCCTTTCTCCAGTCAGCAGAGAGGTGATGGGCCATAGGTACAGAATGGGGCACATGTTGTCAGACATGGCCAGCGCACTGTACAGATTTGTTTAGCTGTATTTGTTTCGAGAAAGGGTTTTGGGGTAAGGGAGGGAAAGGAGGGGAGGACAGTAACTAGGAAGTAACAAGGTTTTGTTTTTTTTTAAGAGTAACAATAGAACATTTTTAATAGCGACTCAATCTACTCTCGGATAAGATTGATCTGTTGTTTTTGCTGCAAATTTTTTTTTCATTTTTCCTGTTTATTCTTACACAGGTGACTAGGGAGGGGAGAGGAAAGGATATATTTTAAAATGAAGATGATATCAAAACAAAAAGCATGAAGAAGAATTAAAGGGGAAAAGGAAAGGAAAAAAGAGGCTTAGTCATCCATGTAAGGGACCACCGTAGGGTCCAGAAAACCAGCTGAGCATTGTCAGGAGACTGAGGTTGTAGCATCATAGAGTCAGATCTGGAAGGGAACTTAAAGGCTAGCAAGCTTCACCCCATCATTTTACAAATCAAAAAACTGAGGCTTGCATGTGGTCACATAGGAAGTATCTGAGGCAGAATTTACATTTAGGTCTTCCTGAATTCAAGTCCGGCTCTCTATCCACTGGCCAACCCTTTATTGAATTGAAAGGTGCTTCAGGATCTATGAGCAGTCCAGATCATGAGAGCAGTTTCTGCCTTCTCCATTCCTAGTTCTACCACTTAATAGCCATGTAACCTTCCCTGCCCAGGGCTTCAGTGTCCTCTTCTGTACGGAATAGATTAGATGATCTCTGAGGCCCCTTTTAGCCCTTCCATGACTCTATAAAGCAACTCTACCCTACCTACTCAGCCCCTTCTTGGATTCCAAGGTACTTCAGTAGTGTCTGAGCAGGCCTTCTTCTCAATAGCACTCCACATCATCTTCTGTGGGTAGACTGAGGAGCCCAGAGGGCTCCCAATGCCTCACGGATTTGTAGTATTATAGCTATCATCTTCTGAGTGTCTAGTAGGGGTGAAAAGATGAATGTGTTTAGACCTAATTAAAAGAAATAACCAGGGAAACTGTATTTTGCTAAAAGGTACCATAGACAATGAAGTAATTTCTCTGATAGAGGCCTCATTTCTCAAATATATACTGAGTATATAATTGAGTCAAATTTATAAAAATAAAAGCCATTTTCCAATTGATAAATGGTCAAAGAATATGAACAGGAAGCTTTCAGAAGAAATCAAAGCTATCTATAGTCACATAAAAATGTTCTAAATCATTATTGATTAGAGAAATGCAAATTAAAATAACTCTGAGGTACCACCTCACACCTATCAGAAATGACAAATGCTGAAGGGGATAAGGGAAAAATAAGTACATTAATGAACTGCTGGTGTAGTAGTGAAGTTGTCCAACCATTCTGGAGAAAATTTGTAACTATGCCCAAAGGTCTATAAAACTTTGCATACCCTTTGATTCAGTAATACCACGACTAGGTCTCTAGCCAAAAGAGATCAAAGAAAAAGTAAAATGACCTATATGTAAAAAATATTTATAGTGGCTTTTTTGTGGTATCAAAGAATTGGAAATTAAGGGGGTGCTCATCAATTGAGGAATGGCTGAACAAGTTGTGGCATATCATTGTAATGTAATACTATTGTGCTGTAAGAAATGATGAGGGGGCAATTTCAGAGAAACATGGCAAGACCTATATGAACTGATGCTAAGTGAAGTGAGAACTGGGAAATCATTGTCCACAGCACCAGCAATGTTGTAATGATGAGCAACTGTGAAAGACTTTGCTACTATGATCAGTACGATGATCCGAGACAATTCCAAAAGTCTCATGATGAAATAATTCCATCCACCTCCAGAGTAAAAACGGATTAACTCTGAGTGCAAATTGAAGTATAATTTTCTCACTTTTTAAAAAAAATATGGCTAATATGGAAATATGTTTCACATGATTTCACATGTATAATTGATCTATTGCTTGCCTTCTCAGCTAGTGTGGGGGGGAAGGATGGAGGTAGAGAATTTAGAACTCAAAATTTAAAAAGAAAAGAATGTTAAAAATAAATCAATAGCAAATAAAATGCTTTTTAAAAAGATAAATTTGCTTAGTCAGACAATAGAAGGAAAGATGAAATCGTCATTGTCTAACCTTTGCTTATGTGTGCCTTTCATCCTTCTTTTAAGAGCTATGATGATGGAGATTCCCGATTGGACTCCAATGAGTTCTTGAAATTTGTGGAACAGAATGAAACCGCTATCAACATCACCACCTACGTCAACCAAGAAACCAACAAGCTGCTCAGGTGCGGGGGATTTGGGGTAGCTCACATGGGGGAAGGCTGGGCAGGAGAAAGGGAGTCAGACCCCCTCCTCTGGGCAAAAGAACTATTTCTATAGGGAGGTGACGGCACGCTAGCAGTTATTTTTCTCTAGCTTCTTATTGTTGTGGTTTTTTCGCATGTTTCATGTTTAGAGTTTACGGAGCATTTTCCTATGATAGGTAGCATAATTATCTGGATTCCCATTTTACTTGAGGAAGCAGACTTGGAGAGGTTAGGTTAGCAAGGAAAGCAGACACAGAGAGGTTATGTGTTATAACCTCTCAGTGTTATGCAGCTAGCAAGGAAAAGAATTCATATTTGAACTGGGTCTTCCTCCTCCCAAATCCAGTGTTGTTTCTACTACATATCAATTAAATCAGGTCAAGTTTCCAGTTATTGAAAGAGTAATGGAGTAGTAATAATAACCAACATTTATATAGCACTTTAGTGGAGAGAGCTTTGGGCCTGAAGTAAGGAAGACTCATGTCTGGCCTCAAACACTTACTAGCTGTGTGATCCTGGTTAAGTCACTTACACTGTTTGCCTTAGTTTCCTCATCTGCAAAATGAACTGGAGAAGGAAATGACAAACCACTCTAGTGTCTTTGCCAAGAGAACCCTAAATGGGGTCATGAAGAGTTGAACATGGCTGAAATAACTGAACAGCAAGTACGCTCTGTCCATTCAGAAGAGAGGCATCATGGCATAGTCCAGTTATGTCAAACTCAAATAGAAACAGATCCCTACAGACTGCATATTAACTTAGAAAACCACAAATTAACATTATCTGTGTTGTATTGGATTTTTATTTATTTTGTTAAACATTCCCCAGTTATATCTTAATCTGGTTCCTTCATGCACTCAAGAGTTTTTCTGGTCAAGAGTTTGACACTTCTGATGTAGGGGAAAGAATTGCTACTTTGAATCGGTGACATGGGGGTTTAAGTCTTGACTCTGACATTTATTACCCATGTGGCCATGAACAAGTAACTTCATCTCTCCAGGCCTCAGTTTTTTCATTTGTAAAATGAAGAGGATGGGCTGGATTGGCTCTTGCAGAGCTATAATCAAAGGGATCAATATGGATGTGCCTTGCAGCAATGTAGATCACAGCCATGTTTTCCTGCCTCTCCTTGCGTGGCTCTTGTCCATGGCCTCCCATAAATGTACCACAGGGGTTCCAGTCCCTTTGCTGGGAGTGGGCCTTCTTCACTTTCTCCTGACACCTTATTGAAATGCACAGCATGATTTCTTTCCACTCTTTAAAGCAGCAGGGCCCATGTAACCCCAACTCCTATATGGTTACCATAGATGCAGGCCTTTGGTAAACAACATGATATACTGGACCCGGAGATGGGAAGACCAAGATTCCAATCCCGCTTCAGACCTTTACTAGCTGTGTGACTCTGGGCAAGTCATTTAACTTCTGTGCCTCAATTTCCTCATCTGTAAAGTAAGAATATTGAATTCAATGGTCTCCAAGGTCCCTTCTGAGTCTAACTCTACTATTATTTCATGTTCCCTTCATACTTTGATTATTACTTTCAGAGTTCACCTTTAGATTTTAATTTCTACAATTGACATTTCTGGTTTGGTTAACTTAAAGTAGATATGGTGGGGAAGGATACCACTAGAGTGAGGTTTGCAAGGACAAGAGTCTCTGTTGGCCAAAATGGAGAAGTCATTCAGGAACACATGACTTGGTATAGCAAGAACATTTGGACAGCCCAAGGGATCTAATGTCGAGGTTGTTAATAGGCTGATTCATGGATTAATATTTATATTGTCATGAGATTTAGAGTTGGAAGGGACCTTAGTGATCATGTAATCCAACCCATTTTACAGATACAAAAACTGAAGCTTAGAGATGTAAAGTGACCTGAAATGGTAAAGATGATTAATACTTGTCAGTTATAACTTTAAAGTGCTCCTCAGATGCTGATTACACGGTAGAAATGGGGGAACCTTATTCCTGCTGACTGTTTTCTTGTGCTGGGGCTAGTGGCTTTGGGGAGGAGAGCTGAGGTCTCACTGCTGACCCTGTCCTCCCCTGTGTCTTTTGTTTCAGGGGACTCTGCATTGATGCTCTCATTGAGCTCTCTGATGAGAATGCTGACTGGAAACTCAGTTTTCACGAATTCCTCAAGTGCCTCAACCCTTCCTTTAACCCTCCTGAGAAGAGTAAGCTTTCTTTACCTTACCTAATAAAAGAGGGAGACTTCCATGGTCACAGGACTGAGGGATGTTGGGATCTTCCAATACAGTTGAGTAGTTCAATAAGCATTTGTTGACCATCCTACTATGTGGCAGGTACTACTGTTCCGCTGGGTGCTTAGGATATAAAGACCTGACCTCCAGGGGCTTACTTTCTTTTTGTTACTATTCTGTCAACAAACATTCCTTAATTTATTCATTACATTCTAATAGAATGTAAACTGCTTGTGGCCAGGCATTGTTTCATTTTTATCTATCTCTACTACCTAACATAGTGGGAAAGATTAATGACTTTAGGGTCAAACGACCTGGGTTCAAATCCCACTTCTGATGCTTCTAGATCGGTGACCTTGGGTAGGTCCCTTAGCCTCTAAAAGGCTTCAGTTTCCCCAGCTATAAAATGAAGCTATTGGCCTCTGAAGTCCCTTCCAACTGTAGATCTATAGTCCTTACATATAATAGGACTAGTAATAAATAGTATTTTTTAAATTGAATTAAGTGCTTACTTCATATAGAGCCTTGGAGGGGATATAAAGACACAGTAAAACGTGTCCTCTGGATACACGAAAAGGAAAAGATAGAATATCCTAGTGAAAAGTCTCAGCTCCAAACTATCTGCTAAAACCACTGCCTCCACTTTTTTTGGCCCCAATAGAATGTGCCCTGGAAGATGAAAACTATGAGGATGGAGCCGAGACCCAGGTGGAATGTAACCGCTGTGTCTGTGCCTGTGGGAACTGGGTCTGCACCGCCATGACCTGTGAGGGTAAGTTTTGCCCCAGGTTTGAGAAAGAGGGAAGGTTCCTTTGTACGATCAGCAGCCAGCCATCAATCAGTGGAGATAATTGTAAGAACACAGGGAGGAACTCGATCACATGTCAGAATGACATACTTGTGTCTGCCCTTGCTTTGGAAGAACACGGATGGTCACATCCCAGAAGTACTGAGTTCAGAAAACACATGAGGCCTTTAGAGGTAGGTGGGGAAAAGGCCCAAGTAGTTGACAGGACCTTTGGCGATGGGATTGGGAGGATGTGCTGTAGATAAAAAGTACTCAGGTGTTTGGAAGCCAAAGGCCAGGTCCTCTGGGTACCAATAGATACTGGCAAACCCTGTGAGACAGAAATATGTGACTAGCAGGGAGGCATAAATGTAGAAGTTTAGAATTTAAAGAAAATTATAGAGGTCATCTGGTCAAAATTCCAGAAGAGAATGGGGAATGGTAAACTAGTAAGATAGGGCCATTAGTCAAGAATGGAAGTACCAGACAAAGACTAAGGTTGATGGCAAGAAAAGTAAATGATCTGAACTCATAGAATTTAGAAGCAGTGTAGTATGGTTCAGAAGTTCTCAAAGTATGGTCTGTGGGGGTCCTTGAGATCTTTTCATGGGGGGTTTGAAGTCAAAACTTTTCATAATAATACTAAGACATTTTAATTTCTAAGATAGTAAATATTGATAGCTATAACCCACATAAAAGTTCTTTGTGGGAGAGGGGCCATCAGAGAGGGGGATTGTTGTCTGTGGTTTTGAAGAGTATAAAAGGGTCTTAAGACCAGAAAGTTTGAGTATTAATGGTATAGTGGACAAGATATTTGTAATCAAGAGGACCTGGGCTCTAAGACTGCCTCAAATATGTAGTAGGTATGTGGCCCTGGACAAATCACTTAACATCTATATGTCTCAGTTTTCCCCATCTGCAAAATGGGAAGAGGGGAAGAAGGAGTTGGATTCTGGCCTTTAAGATCTCTTCTAGCTCTAAATGGAAAATCTTATGAATATACAGAACTGAAAGCCAAATGAGAGTAATGAATTTTAAAAAGAGTTGACAGCAGGAAACCAGGATACTTCAGAATTTAGAGGTCAAGAGAATTGAATCAAGGCCACAAAGATATTCAGGTTGCGCTAGTACTCAGGTGGCAACAGTATGGACTTGGCCAAGAAAGGACCAGGTAGCATAAGTCAGGCAGACCAGAGGTCAAATCCAAAGAGGTCAGCTAATACTTGGGAAAAGTATGGCAAGTACTGTATATCCAGGCAACCATGGAATGAAATCTAGGAAGCTCAGCCAAGACAGGAACCAGGAACCAGGAACCCAAACTAGAGCCCCAGTAGTATCAAAGACTGGGGAAAAAGGTCTGAGCAGACATAGATAAGGCATCCAAGTAATGATCAGCATACCAGAATCCATAACTGGGCCCAAGGTGAAAACTTAATTGTTTCATGGAAATAATAACAATCATTGTAATGATATGCCTTATAATATAAACCAAACAAGAGCCAAATGGCAAGAATGAGTGGGGAAGATAGTTCTTCCCTAGACACAATACCTGATTTTCCATCCTAGTTACCAGACAAAGAATGGTGACCTGAATACTATTTGGATACTTCATGATGTGGAGATGACTTTGGGTTATAGAATACTATAATAGTAGAACACAGGCTCTGGGGGATCCTAGAAGCCGGGAAAGGCTTCATGTATGACCCCAGCTATGGACTCTGTATCTGCCCTACAAGGACTGGTCTATCTAAGTTGGAAGAGGCTCATCACCAGAAAGCTGGCCACATCTACTAACCTTTTATTCCACATTGCCTCCTCTTGATATATTGTTTTGTTTACACTATGTTGCTTCATACTTTGAAGGCAATGGGTAGAATGTGACACCAGACATCTTCAAATTCAAAGAAATGGATTTATAGCTAAGTAACCTCTTCTTCCATATCATGTACTTGTTTCTTGAAATAAATTTTTATTAGTATCTTTTGTTTTTAATCACCTATATTTCCCAGTGTCTTTCCCTAGTCTCTTCCTTCCATAGAGACACCCTTTAACAAAGAACAAAAACAAAGAAAAAAATTTAGCTTACCAAACACATCAAAAAAGTCTGACATCTGAAGTTTTCCATACCCATAGTCTCCAACCTCTGCAAAAAAAGTGGGAGGGGGAGATTCCATTTCATATCTCTTCTTTTGGGCCAAGATTGAACATTGGTATGTATAGCATTCATTTTCAGTTTTGTTGTTGCTCTTATATCCTTTTACATTGGTGTAGTTGCTGTGTACATTTTCCTGTTTCTGTCACATCCTTCCACATGGATCTTTTCTTGCTTCTCTATTCATCATATTCATCATTTCTTCAATAATCTTATTACATTCATGACCCAACACTTGTTTAGTCATTCCCCAATCAATGGGAACCTACTTTGCTTCCAATTATTTGCTACCCCAAAGAGGGGCACACACACACACACACACATACACACACACACACACACACACACACACAGAGTGTGAGGGAGGAAAGCCATACCATGTACTTGGAGAGATAGATCAACGTAGGAGCTAATGATCCCTGTGAGATCTCAATCAGATAAGTCTTAACATGATTCCCAAACGAATTTACTGCTTCTACTATTCTCCTGAACCTGACTTTTTCTTTCAGGAAAGAATCAGAAAGGGCAACAGCCTAACGAGGATCTGACTGAAGAGGAGTTGGCCAGATATGTCCAAGAACTACAGAAGCATCAGGTGAGCGAGAACCTTTCACTTTGTCCAAGCTAGTCCCTAAGACCAACAATTTAATTTACAACTCTTACTCTGCTGCTCTGGAATGCCCAAGTGACCTGTTCTGTTATAGACATTAACAGGGTCAATTCAAGGACATGGGGAACTCAACTGATGCTACTGTGTTAAAAACCATTAGATTCAGATTCTGTCATAACTGACTTCCTGATGGATCTGCATTGCATCATTTATGTTTATCCTTGATGGCAGGATGCAGCATGGCAGAAAATGGTGTTAATTCAGAACAGTGGGGCACAGAGTAAGTAGTGCTGTGATCAGAAGGCCAGTAGATTATAACAGGAAGAATCTAGGGCAAACAATTAGAGAAGGATGGAGTGGACCTCAGAGGAGCAGAGAGTGCTTAGTGATGGCAGCAAAGATGGGTCAGGAAGTAGTGAGTAAAGAGTATGTCTTCTTCTTTTTCCTGATCCCATGTGTTAGAGGGCATGAAAGAAGGAACAACCCTACTGGAGAGAGAGACTGAATAATCACAGGATCATAGATATAGAGTGGGAAGGCACTTTAGTCCAATCTAGTCATTTTATGGATGAGGACATTTTGGGTCAGAGAGATTAAGTAATTTGCCCAAGGTCACCCAGGTAGTAAGTGGCAGAGTCCAGATTCCAATTCAGGTACTTTAATACCAAATTCTGGTATACTGTCCACTATTTTGTTGTTGTTCTTTCATTTCCATTGTGTCTGATCCCATTTGGGGTTTTCTTGGCAAAGATACTGGAGTGCTTTGCTATTTCCTTCTCCAGCTCATTTTAGAGGTGAGAAAACTGAGGCAAACAGGGTTAAGTGACTTGCCCAGGGTCACATGGTTAATAAGTGTGTGAGACTGGATTTGAACTCATGAAGATGAGTCTTTCTGACTCCAGGCCCAGCACTCTATCACTGAAGCACCTAGCTGCTCCATTCTCCTCTGTACTAGGCTACCACTGAGTAGTATCAGAGGAAGGAAGAGGCTTCTCCTTGGCAGACAGCCAACTCCAAATCACAGGCAGAAGAGGAGGAGGAGGTGAAGACAGGTTTCTTCCAGTCTGACATCCGATGATCTTATGAACTATTGATGAGGAAAAGGAGCCTCATGTCTTTCAGCAGCAATGGCAGCCTTCCCATGTGTCAGCTTTATGCACTTAAGCGATGCTGTTTTAAAAATGTGTCCATTGTGGCTTTAAGGGGAAAAAAAGGATGATTATAATGGAAACCGCTAGACAACATTCTCTAAAGGTGCTCCTTTTTTCCCTTCCTTCTCAAAGGACACAGTGCAAAAGAACAAGAAGCCAAGCACCAAAGAAATCTAACAGAAGCTTCCAGCCCCTGAAGAAGGAACCCAGAGCTTCTGCCTCAAGGCAGGCTCAGCCCATGCCCGTTTACTTCAGCGCTGAATTCCATATACACAAGTGTCTGCTACAGTTTCCAAATCGCCAATATTTACATTGTATAATGAATTTTTTTCACTTATTTGTTTTTATAATAAAGGAAGATGTGGGACAAGAGAGGGGGTGGGGCCATAACCTTCATTTCTAAGAAAGCTTTAAGGGAGACTGGAACTGGTGCTTGGGGGGCTCACCAAGGAGGCTGCTTCCCAGTTACAGGAGGAGCCCACTTGGATCAGAATTACATCCCAGTCCTGTGCTCAGATGAGCTGGAGGAAATGCAATAGTAGAATGCCAGGGAAATATGTTCATGGGGGGGGGGGGGGGGCTGGCCATTCCGGATTGGGGGGAAAGGAGATTGCAGAAGAGGGAATACAGCCCTGCTCTAGAGAATTGGCAGGGGACCCAGGATGTAGCTTGGCTACTGAGAACCCGAACCCTCTCAGCTTGTCCTCTCCCACTCTGTCCAGGAGTATACTCTCAAAAGATAAATGGAAAGGTTAACTCATGGCAGCTTTCCATTGGCCAGTTGTCTGTCAGCATGACCTGAACTTATACCTCTACTGGTGACTCTGGCAACCTGTTAGTGACCATACATCCTCCAAACCACCTACTCCTCATGAGGCTTGGGCAGAGAGTTCTGGGAGTCCCAGATCTCTGTGATCCAGCTCTTGTCTGCCACTTGCTACCCTCATTGGGCACACTCTTTCATTTGTTTTATTTTGTTTTATTTTGTTTTTTACTTTTCACAAAGGTGCTATCTTCTCTTGAAACACTTTTGACAAGTTGACTCTTTTTTTTCATTTATTGTTATTACCATTGCCTGTTGTTCATGAATATTTCATTTTCTGGATTAGGAATTGAGTTTTTGTATTTTTCAGTACTTTCTAGACTTTAGAGGGGAGGGAGGAATTTATAATTATTTAATGTCTTATTCTATGCATGGCCTCACCATGCCTGCAGCCCAGACCGCATGTTACATTGCACACTGGATGGTCAGGGTTTTCTTCCATCACTTCCAAGGACATCAATGTCTGTGAGTGGGAACAGGGGCTGCCTCAAAGAGAAGTCAATGGGAGAAGAAGCATTGTCATAGGAAACTGTCTGTGTTTGGAAGACCAAGTTTTGACTGATTCTATGGAGACGATTTTGAGGGCTCCAAATAAAGATATCTGTATCAGAATTCAGATATTCCAAATGGTTGGAGGTTAAAAAAAAGTAAACAGTACAGCTCCTCTTTCTATAGATATCTGGGGGCTGGTAGATTATAGCAATAAGAATGGCTAGCAAGTGATATAAATGGATGGGGTAAACCTTCAAGGAAGAGAGATTGCTCAATGAAGCAGAGGAAGGGTCTGGACTTGGTGTTGAGGGTCAGAGAAGATGTCTACACCTTTGTCTGGTCCAGAGCGTCAGGATTGGGGAATGAGAGAAGGAGCACCTTGTACCAGAGAGACAGTGGCCAGGAATGCAGTGTCTTACAGAGGGAGCCAGGTTTCCATGAGTACAAGAAGGCTGGTTGTCTACCATTGACCCCTGCAGGTTTCTTCAAGCTGTGAGATTCTGTGAGTCTATGACTCAAGTTCATGTGATTTTAATCTCCTTCCATGAGATGAAGCTCTGTTATAATCCACCAAGATTAGCAGCAAAGGAGTAAATTTAATGCTGATGGTAGATTATGCCAGAAAGCAATGGAGGCATCAGGCAATAGATGGGGGGAGTTATATCTGATTTGTTTTGAGGGTGTTTTTTTTCCGTTTCATGTTAGACTTGTTATTCTTCAAAACAAAAATAAAATATCTTCAATAGCAATTTATGGTAGGATGTCAGTCACCAAGCGTTTCTTAAACACCTACTATATGCCAGGCACTCTGCATGATGGAAAATCACCCAGAATGGGTGGGCATGGATGGACTGAAATCTGCTTCATTGAAGGGAATACCCACTTAGAGGAGATCACAGAACCATAGAGAAGGGAATTAAAACCTGGTTTCTAATTTCAATAGGGAAAAAAGTAAGAGACAACTCTGGCTGGCACTATCAAGCTTGGGAAATACAAGTATTTGAGAGAAATCATTTCCTGTTTCTGGGTACTTCAGCTCTGACTTCCCTTTTCCTACACTTGGCACTGTATCTATTTCAGACCAATAAATTCATTTCTAAGAAAGGGGCATAGGTATTCCATCTAGTATAATTCTCGCACATTAAATGTTTGTTGATTGACTAATAGAACAAACATGAAATCCTGTGTGTAGAAGGCACACAAGGATCCATCTTTTCTTCAGAATTAAATGACTTGGGTTGTAATGCATGAACAATGATGAGAGGCTGTTGTGTTTAAATTGGAATTCTCCCTAAGTAGATTTTCTTTCTCCACTTCACTGAAAAAGTATGCAATTTCAAACACTCCAACTTAGAAGGATCCATTTTGCTTAGAATTCTCATCTTTCACCTATCTTTAGCCTAAAACATTGTTAACTCCCTCGTCTATTCCTGAAGTTTAAGCATCTCCTTGTTCAAGTGCCTTACACAACCTTGCAGCCAGACTTACTCAAACTACAGATTTTCACTTGCAGAAAATGGGTTCCTTTTCCCATTCCAGAATCCTTGAGGGGAGAGGGAAGGCCACAGACTGGCAGTGAGGTGGGAAGCAAATTACCAGTGCAATGTCCCATCAGCCAATTCCACCGTCACATTTAATTAGTGGTACAGTTCAAAATTGCCATCGCCATATGAGATCACAGAGTTAGAGCTGGAAGGGACTTCAGAGGTAAAATTCAACTCCCTCATTTTACAGATGAGGAAATTGACACTCAAAAAATGTTAAATGACTTGGCCAGGGTCACACAACTACCAAATGTCTGAGGCAAGATTTAAGTCTAGGTCTGACTCCAATTCCACTACTCTGTCCCCGATGCCACCTCTCAGAGCACAGGGGCAACTTGGAAAAGATGAGATGTAAAATCAGTCTGGCGTGGTCTGTAAACTGAGGACAGCTCTGATCAGTTCTATCAAAGTACTGCTAATGAGCAGCCCAAAAGCTCATGGAAAGGACTTTGTGGCTCAAGCTTAGGGGTCCTACAGAGAACTGCACAGAATAAATGGAGCAAAATTTCATAAAGGTACACTTCTGTCCCTTTGTGAAAGGGGCAATATGTATAGCAAGCTTTCTGAGTCTCTTCTTTCCCCACCTCCACTATGGTCTTATAAGCCTCTGTTTATGTGTCAAAATGTATGTGTTAAAAACAAGTGTCCATGGAAATGTTAATACTAGCCCCTGCCTGACCATTTTCCAAGAGCAGATGGGTCTTCCTTCTACTTACTAATTAGTCTCACTTCCACCATCCACCAAGTTCCAAGCAACTATCTCAGAGAAAGGACTGCAGGGACATTTTCTCCTATATGCTTACTTTTTACATACTAAAAAAAACTTATATAAAAAAACAAAACAATGTAAGCCTTGTGTTTCTCATGCATGTGAGAATGTGTCAGTGAAAGGGCTCGGTAGTCAGTAGTAGGCTTTCATATTGCATTTATTTTAACCCTTTTTGTAATTCCTGATAGGTTCATTTGTTTCCCTTTCCTTTGGACATATAAATGCCAAATAAAGAAATTAAAACAATTATTTCATTGTTGGGTTTTTTTTTTTCATTTCCTAAGCAAGACCAAGTAAAATTCTACTCTGGATCAACCGATCCTACCTCACAGAAGTCACACTATGAAAAAGTAGAACTGGGGCCTGCAGAACCTTAAGAAGGGACTTAAGCGACCCATGAAAGATTCATTACCCTGCAGAGAAAACAGGATTTCCATAGGAGATGGGAATGACTGTCTCCTTCTTGTGCAAGGTACAGTGTTTATGAAAAGAGAGCAGGGCACAGTAGGAAAGTGGAGCAATGTTGCTCAATATTTCCTGGATTGCTACAAAAGGAATGTTATTACTAAGTCCATGGAATAAAATCAAGCGCAGTGAGACTCCTCATAAGAAGGATAGTCAGAAAGAAATGGATTTTTTTTTAACCTCAGACTCTCATTCAAGGCAGAGGAATTATAATCTTCATTGGTGAAGCGTGTGGCCACCCCCATTGAAATCACAGATTTTTGAAGTTCTTAGGTTGAGAACTAAGAATCAGGACTTGGAATATACAGTGCAGACATTTCTTTCTGCCTTAGCCCCTACTTCTGTTACCATACACTGAGAGTAGCGATATAGTCACCAGGCAGCCTGAAAAAAGCAATAAAATCTGTTCTCCATACTTCCTATTAGTTGAAAAGTTTAGCCAACCGGGAAAAACTGTATTCCATTAACCCTTAAAGGTTTTAAGTATACAAAGTAGCAGAACTTTGTGAAGAAAAATGTTAAAAGCTAAGAATCCAAGACCAGTCCTTCAAAAGCATAAAGCAATATGCAAAAATGTCATTGCAAGATGGGTTTTTGGGGTCCAGACCTGAGATTTCATAAGGAAGGAATAACCCTTTCTACCACTAAGGCAGATTGGCAATTCAGCTGTAAGTTGTAGTCTTACAGAGTTGCCTTTCTACAAGTAGTAGAGAGGTTAAATGATTTCAGACGCAGTCATGGTCCAGTGGAAGGACCACTCAATTCAGAGTCAATCTCCTTGGCTGGACCAGCTACTATATTCTGTCCCTTTACTTTGGGGCCCAAGTTTCTGTCCTGAGTCATGGACTTTCTTCTCTCCATACTCTATCTCTTGGTGACTTCATGAGCTCTTACAGATTTAATTATTACTCCTATGAAAATAAATACCAGATCTATATATCTAGCATACATCTCTTTCCTAAGCTCTAGTCCCAAGTGGAGGGGTTTGCTGAAGCTTACTGGGCCCTCAGTCAATTGTTAAATTTTGAGTTTAAATTTTAAAAACACCTTAGAAATTGGCAAATGCTACAAATCCAGGCTTGATTTCTTGATTTTTTTATTGTTTATACTTAAGAAAGTTATGAAGAAAATGTTAATAATGCAGATTACACTTAAAAGTGTATCATCCATACCTTTTTTTTTTTGAGAGCCAGATGTTAAACATTTACAAGCACACCTCTGCAAATCACTCTTACAATTTCTATCTGGACGCCTCCTAAGTATCTCAAACTCAACATGACCAAATAAGAACTCATTTTCCCCTCCAACCCACCCTCTTCTGTCCCCTCATTTCTATTGAAGACATTACCATCCATCAACCACTCAGATTTGTAACCTTGGTGTCATCCTTAACTTTCATCCTCTCTCATGGATTAAAACTGGACTTTGGAAGACATCTAGTCCAACAACCTCATTTTGCAGCTGAGAAAACTGAAGCTCAGAGAAATTAAATGACTTGCCTAAGTTTGTGTCAGAGGTAGGATTCAAATTCAGGTCTTCTCTCTCCAAGGTTAGGGCTCTGTCTACCACACACTCCACATGTCAAATTAATGTCCATATTGTGCTACTTTTACGTCCACATATCTCACATATCTCTACTTACACATCACCACCCTACTTCAAGCCCTCATCATGTCTCCCTGGGACTATTGCCTCTTCACTGGTTTTCTGGCCACAAGTCTCCCTATCCAATCCATCCTCCACACAGCTGTCATAGTGATTTTCCTAAAGCACAAATCTGATCATGTCAGTCTCCTGTTCAGTAAACTCCAACGGCTCCCTATTACCTCTAGGATCAAATACAAATGCCTATGCTTAGCTTCTTCCCCCCAATCCCATTTTATTATTTATTTATTTTTAAATTTTTATTTTTTTTATATTTTTTAATATTTATTTTTTTTTGAATTCCAAATTCTCTCCCTTCTTCCCACCCCCTCCCACACTCCCTGAGAAGCTAAGCGATATGATATCAATTATACATATGAAATCATGCAAAACATATGTCCATATTAGCCATTTCATAAGAAAGCAAGAAAAATAAAGTGAAAAAATGATGCTTCAATTTGCACTCAGAGTTTATCGGTTAGTGGATAGCATTTTTTTTTCATCATGAGTGCTTTGAAATTATCTTGGATCATTGTGTTGATCAGAGTAGCCAAGTCTTTCACAGTTGATCATCATTACAATATTGCTGTTACTGTGTACAATGATCTCCCAATTCTTCTCAATTTACTTTGAATCATACATATTGGCCTTGCATTGTTTCTCTAAAGCCACCCCCCCTTTATCATTTCTTATAGCATAACTGTACTCCATCACAATCATATGCCACAACTTGTTCAACCATTTCCTGATTGATGGGCATCCCCTTGATCCCCAATTCTTTGCCACCACAAAAAAGAGCTACTATAAATATCTTGTACGTATAGGTCCTTTTCCTTTTTCCTTGATTTCTTTAGGATATAGACCTAGTTAGTGGTATTGCTGGGTCAAAGGTATGCAGAGTTTTATAGCTCTGTGAGCATGGTTTCAAATTGTTCTCCAGAATAGTTGGACTAGTTCACTTTTCCACCAGCAGTTCATTAATGTACCTATTTTCCCCTCATTCCCTCCAGCATTTATCATTTCTGTTAAGTGTGAAGTAGTACTTCAGAATTGTTTTAATTTGCATTTCTCTACTCAATAGTGATTTAGAACATTTTTTCATGACTATTGATACCTTTGATTTCTTTTTCTAACAACTTCATATCCATTGACCATTTGTCAATTGGGGTATGGCTCTTATTTTTATAAATTTGACTCAATTACTTACATATTGGAGAAATTAGGCCTTTATCAGAGAAACTCGATGTAAAAAATGTTGGTATTACTTCATTGTCTATGATATTTTTAGTAAAATATTGTTTCTCTGATGATCTCTTTCAATTAGGTCTCTTTTGCTTTTGCTCTGAGATCATGATTGCTACCCTGTCTTTTTTTATTTCAGTTGAAGCATATTAGGTTCTGTTTCATCCCTTTCTTTTAACTCTCTGTGTCTTTCTGTTTTAAGTGTGTCTCTTGCAAACAACATATTGTTGGTTTCTAACCCATTCTACAATTTGTTTCTGTTTCATGGGTGAATTCATCCCATTCATATTCTCAGTTATGATTATTAACTACATATTTTCCTCAATCCAGTTTTCATTCATATATATATATATCTGTGTGTGTGTGTGTGTGTGAGTGTGTGTGAATATATGTATGTATGTATATGTCCTGTCTCTCCTCAAAAGTCTATTTTGTTTCCAATCACTGCTTCTCCTAATCTACCCTCCCTTCTATCAGCCTCCTCTCTTTATCTTATCCCCTTTTCTTCCTACTTCCCCATAGGGAAAGATAGATTTCTATACACAATTGGGTATGTATTCTTTCCTCTTTGAACCAATTACAATGAGAGTGAAGTTTAATCACTACCTACTGTCCCTTTTCCTTGTGCACTTTTTTTATGTGAGAAAAATTTCCCCATTCTACCTCTCCTTTCCCCCTTCTCCCAGTACATCTCTTTTTCTCACTCCATAATTTTTTTTTTTGGAGATTATTCCAATATAATCAGCTCACACCCATGTCTTCTATCTATGATGATAAAGTTCTTAGGAGTTATATATATATCATCTTTCCATATAGGAGTGTAAACAGTTTAACTTTATTGAGTCCCTTATGTTCTCCTGAGTCTTGTGTTAGAATGTTAAATTTTCTGTTCAGCTCTGGTCTTTTTATCAGGAATGCTTGAAAGTCCTCTATTTCATTAAATATTTATTTTTTCCCTGAAGGATTATACCCAGTTTGATTGAGTAGGTTATTCTTTGTTGTAATCCTAGCTCTTTTGCCTTCAGGAATATCATATACCAAGCCCTCTGCTCCTTTATCATGGAAGTTGCTAAATCTTGTGAGATCCTGAGTGTGGCTGGTTCCACAATATTTGAATTGTTTCTTTCTTAAAGTATTAAAGTATTTAAAGTATTTTCCCTTTGACCTGAAAGCTCTGGAATTTGGCTATAATATTCCTGAGAGTTTTCACTCTGGTATCTCTTTCAAGAGGTGATTGGTATATTCTTTCAATTTCCATTTGCCCCCCTCCTCCCCAACCTAAAATATTGGTAGAGTTTTCCTTTATAATTTCTTTAAATATGATGTTTAGGCTCTTTTTTTGATCATGGCTTTCAGGCAGTCCAATAATTCTTAAATTATCTCCCTTCAATCTATTTTCCAGGTCAGGTGTTTTTCTAAGGAAATAGTTCACATTTTCTTCTATTTTGTCATTCTTTTGACTTTGGTTATTGTTTCTTGATGTCTCACGGAGTAATTAACTTCCACTTGCCCTATTCTAATTTTTAAAGAATTGCTTCTTTGGTAAGCTCTTGTACCTCTTTTTCTATTTGGCTGATTCTGTTTTTTAAGGAGTTTTTTTCTTCAGTGAATGTTTGTGCATCTTTTACCATTAGACCAATTCTGTTTTTTAAGGTGTTATTTTTGTCTATTATTTTTTGTGCCTCTTTTACCATGCTGTAACTTTCTTTTCATAATTTTCTTGCAGTACTCTCATTTCTTTTCCCACTTTTCCCTCTATCACTGTTATCTCTTTCTTTAACTCTTCCAGGAATTCTTGTTGGGCTTGTGTCCAATCAGCATTTTTCTTTAAGGAGTTGCTTGTAACTGTTGTCACATTATTATCTTCTTGTGAGTTTGTGTCTTGGTCTTGTGTGCCA